GAGTTCCTGCCTGCTCCCTGTCTGGTTTGGGTTGCCTGTCTGACGGATTTCCTGGTTTTGACCCTGCCTGTCCCTGACCTGAATAAACTGAACATTGCTATACACTGGTTGTATCTGAGTCGTGCTATTGGGTTCTGATCTGTACCTGTGATCGTGACAGCCTATGGGCTGGGCTGGATGTACTATTCCTAAACTAGATCCAGATATACCCTAAACCTCTAAATGTCGAAAGTGACTTTAAGGGGATTCTCTTTTGTATTGTTTTTTAATCAACAATACATTGATAAATCGGTTAATATGTATGCATTGCATACACAGTCTGTCTCTCCTCAATATGAGGGCTGGTTAGTCTTCTTGAGTATTTTATTTTACAGTACCTACAAAAACAGATCTTTAATGTCACTGAACTCAAATGAAGTATTTGTAACAACATAAGCTGCTAATGGACTCATGCACTAGTGTAAACACTGCCTGCTGTGAGAGGATATCACTCCTTGACGTATGTGCTATACCAGATGTGTTTTGAGTGTATGTTGCTATAGGGTTTGTTATGAGTCTTTCTTTGCCTTTTCATCTTAAAACATTTTTCAGCTGCTCAAGTAGTATAACTGTGAGCTCTGTTCATCACACAGTGTGTGTGTGTGTGTCTGTGTGTGTGGGGGGAGGGGGGGAGAGACATATCTTGCCTATACAGTATATTACTTGTCTTGGGTTTAGCCACAAATATATTCGTCTGTGTACTTAATGTGCACACATGTGGCTCATGTGGCATCTTGACTTGGTCACCATCTGTGCTCCCATTAAGTCACGTCTATGAAATCTATATGACAACAGCTGACTGATGCCTCAGTTACGCCATCGAAGTCGAGATCCAAATAATTGCTACACAGTATACCTCCTCCCACACATTCCAGTTTAATATCTTCTTTCCCATCTGCTCATTACTGCAGAGGGTGATCTTAAGAAATGTGCCTCTACAGGAGACAATCATCCCGCTGTTTTGATAAATACTAGGGGGAAATGAGTCATACCTATAAGGGTGAACCTATATTATGAGGTGTGATATTGGTAGAGTAATTTACACAAGGTGGTAAATAGATAGGCGTAAATAGAATGAAATATGTTTGAAAATGTTCTGTTTTAACATTACGATAGTTAGAGCTGATTTATTAAGAGTTTATGTAATGTAAGAAATAGACCATTTATGCAAGTGAAACTGTAGGGTGAAGTCAGAGCAATGCTTTTCTTAAGGGCTCTCCCATGCAGGAATAATTTTCCAATTATTTCCAGTTATATAATCATTATTACTGTGAAATGAAATGGTTCAGACCCTTTTCATATAATTAATATTTCTGTTAGAGAAGCAAAATGTTAAAAAAAAGAATAATACATTGGAAACACATTGGTGATGGGCGAACCTAATGAGGCATCAAAACAAAATGTCTTTTTCAATCCAAAGTGTATTGTTGTTTGAAAGCAACATTAAAGACATGAGAGTAATGGATCCTTCTGAGGCCTCTCAGTGGGTGGTGGAATACTTCCACAGTACAAACTACATTGAACTTAACTAATACAATGATTTTGTAACTGATGATAACTTTAGATAATCTTTGGCAGAGAGCATTTTGAAATACATCTTCTCCCTAAATGCATGTGGTAGACTACTAAATATAATCTAGTGACTTTCAAGAAAAAGGCCTCCGGTACTGTAAAAGAAGTTGCACTGCCTGTTTCCTATTTAAACACAAAGAAAAATCAGCGCACTCCAAACCAGATGACTAGCTGTTGTCTGTCTTCTCACTCGGATGAAAACATGAAAGCTGGGTGGACCGTGACATGTGTCCCATTGATATGCCAGATAGCTAACATGACTAAACTGTGATGACAACATTTACGTGAGGCAAAATGTGAGCAGATGTTGCAGCAGTGTGTGTTTTTTATTACAAAGTATGCTGTTGAGTTTCCAGGTAGAGTGGGTGATGTATTAATAATGTCTCCGAAGCCTGTGGCTAGTTCAAATGCATTATAACATTAATAACCATAAATGATGGTATAACCATTCATTCTGACAGTGACTACTGCTGGATTGTAGATCATTAGAGTAAATTAAAAAGTTTGATCATCAGTTGGAATTATAGTTGATTTACTATCAGATTACAATGAAACTGAGGGCATTATTTATATGTTCACAGTGTTTAATGGCCATGACTTACTGGCATCTAATCCAAACAGGCCATTTAACCCATTCTGCAATCTCTTCATGTCAATGGCTGAAGTGAAAGTGCCAATGTGATGCTCTGTATTAGTTTGTTACATGCTTGTCAGTTTGTAATTGCACAAAAGAGGATAGATAATAATTCATTTGCAACAGGGATTACAGACATGAAAAATTCAATTAGTGTCCCACAATGAATGGAAATTCGCCAACAAAGGACATCATTCAAAACATAAAAAGCATTCACAGAAAACAATTGTCCTCATGGAGCACAAAACAAAACTCTAATGTTGCTCCCCTGCACTATTTTCCAAAATAATATACACAAAAAAAAACTAAACTGCCCAAATGAAAGGTCCAGTGAAATTATATTAATAAGAATCACTTTTTATCTGTGAGCGACTTCACATCAATATACTGTACTCTACAATGTTTAGTTTGTTTGTTTGTTTGTTTTTGTGTTTTACATTTCAATAATTCAATAACAAATGTTCTCAAGATATGACTTGTGACATCAGCAGGTTAAGACTGATTTGTATATGTGGATTTGCTAAATCAGCCAAGGTACGGATCTTTTCCTCACAAGGCCAGAATGTTCCTGGCAGGTTCACACTACAAAACACGAATATACACAATATGGAAATGTTTACACTTTTAAGTAATTCTATGATCATTCTGCAGTTCAGTCTAGAAAATATTTAGTCATTAATCCTTGAAGTGACATTTTCACCAGCTATTTGGGATGATTTTGACAGTTACAGAGCAATATATATGGGTCACGTCCAACATTGCACTATATGATTAACTATAGCTGTAGTGCTCATACATATAATGTCTGATCATTATTCGTATCTAGTGGAGTCAGAATAAACACTATTAAGAGCACTTGGCAGGGGCTAGCGCAGGGGAGTCGCCCTGAAGCCTGCTGTTAGTTTATTACATTTCCCAGGGAGAGCAATATGATGTCATCAACATGTGTCCCATCTCTAGTTAAGACCCCATATCCTGGTTGGACAGCTGAGCCGGGGATAAGGAGTTTCTGTTCTCATAATATACTCAAGGAAAGGCTTCCTTTCTTGCTCTTGCACCAACACTAGTTGTTTACTTTTCTGACTCCGACTCCCCCCACACTCACTCAGGCACACACTCTGTATCTGTTTCGTTTTTCTGAATAAATCTTAGTTTTAACTGTTGCCATTTCATGAAGTCGACTTTCAATTATTTTTTCAGTTTTATTTATAAAATGAAGCTGTTCAAAAATATAGCAAGCAGTCATTCATTGGTAACTATTGACATACATAATGATATTTAATAATTTCTCCCTTTATGACAAAGCACATCTTACAACAGAGACTTTACAAGACAAATAATTTAAGGACAAAATGAAAAGAAAACATAAAAGGAAAGAGGAAACATGATAACTATGAGCTGCTGTCTTTGTGCTCAAGCTTAGGGAAGGATCTTAAACCACACATGCATTTATACAATCTTTAATATCAAAATAATCACAAAGATAACTCTCCAAAGAACTGACTATTGTGTTTGCATGAATGCTTTGTACCGTATCTCTTTCTGCCCCATTAATGCTGTGAGAATGTGAGATGTTCTCAATGGTGGTAGAATAATATTGGCAAGGTTTAAAATCCATAATATAACAAGGAGAGTTAATAGGTTCAAGAAATCATGAATAAACTGGTTGGATCACAGCCCTCATCATGTCTTCTACACATTCACTGTAACGGTAAGGCAGTAAAATACAAACAAGGCTGCCAATTTAAGTTACTGTTCGCTACATATGCACCACAACAAAATACAACCTTTTAATGTACGTTATAAATTAGAAAATGTAGTTAAAAGGTCAATATCAAGTTGAAATTTAAATAGTGTTGATGACGTCCCATTTCGCAAGTATATACGATACGATACGATATTACTTTATTTGTCAGATCAAGTCTGAAATTTGACTTGCGTCATAAAAAAATCTTATATTTTATAAATATACACCAAAATCAAACATGATTATTTGATATGACATCACGTTGAATATTAATCTGCCTTTTCACATTTGTGAAGGACAGGAAAAAGTCTTTATTGTCCTTATTCTGCGTTTTATCTACAATATTTAGTGATACAGTCATTACAAATACTGTATGCTATACTGTAGTTCACTTTTAGTGGACGAATGTGTAAAGTAATGAAACAAAGCAATCAGGCCAAGGAAAGCTTGCTTGTCTTTCAGCAATACTCAAATGTGACACATCTTTGCACTGAAACAGTCCACAGGTGCTGTATGATGTATGATGCTGTATCAGCAAAGAATCCTTCAACTCCTGATGTTTCAAACAAAAATGTATTGAAATCAAAGTCATACAAATACATAAATGAGCCATAATGTATATTAGTATTGTCTTTTCGGAGATTCAACAGTATCTCCTGCATAAAGCCTTGCAGTTCCTTTGGGCATGTGGGAAACATAACATGTTATAAGCAGAGGAGTTCATCCACCAGTACAGTAGACTGTCTCCGTCGTTCTGCTGATTGTCTGTTTGTGTGTGTGTTTATTTCACCCTGTTATATAACATGTAGGTAGGTTGCCTTGGTGTCCACTCCTATTACATTTTTGGCGGTGCATCTGTAAAATCCCGTATCCCTACTTGTCGGGTTTTGTATCACCAAGGAACCTTGAGGACTAAGGTAGCGGTTGCCATAGATACGAGCCTGACCCATGACCCTCAGCTGTGTCAGGTCTGGTGTTTCCCAGGTGACGGTCGCCCGGGGTGTCGCTATTGTCCTACACGGCAGCTCCACAGCCACCCCGGGTCGTGTGTAGGTCACAGGGGAGGGGCCTGTTGTGATGCGTGGCGGGTAGGCGATGACGATGACGGGAACCGTGATGACTGAAATTGAGTCGCCACTGGTAGATCTGCAGCTGAAGGTGCCGCGGTCGTACACGGAGGCCTGTTGCACTGTCAGAATTCCATCTTCTTGGACTTTGTATCGGCCTGAGTCATCACTTTCACCCCGGGTCAGTACTTTTCCATTTGGCATGGTCCATGAGAGAGAGCCCTGGGTATATCCATGGGTTTGAGGAGCAGGACAAGGCAGGCGGAGGTTCTCTCCATTAACGATGCTCACTAAGGGAGCTGTTCTGGTGCTCACTGCTGGCTCTGACACAGGGCTCGAGGAACGGGGTGGAGGGACAACAGGACGAGGTGTGGCAGGAAAAGACTGGCCTCTGTGTAGAGGCTTTTGAGTAACTTGGATTTTTGGATGAAGTGCCTCAGGCAACATTGGCCTTGAGCTCAAGGATTTAGCTGAATCTAATGAGGTTCCCGGGCGTGGCGCCTCTATTACACCTACACGTCCCATCACAGGCCTTTCATCTGCCCGTCCCCTGTGTGAAAGTCTGGCCTCCTCTTGTGGCTCAGAGACCTCCAGCTCCACCTGTATCCTCGTCTGTCCTCTTTCACTTCTGACCACACAAACTAAGGTCCCAGAATCGCTCGCACGCACTCCTCGCAGCTCCAAAGAGCCGTTTCTGTGCACAGTGAGTCTGCTGCCATAGTAAGGAGCTGGTAACACACCATTACCAGGCAGAAGCCAGGCCACACGAGGGGGAGGGGAGCCTTGGGAGAGGCATGGCAAAACCAGAGTTTGGCCTTTCACAGCTCGCTGTTTGACTGTAGTTACCACACCCACAACAGTGTTACTATAGTTTTTAGTACCAGCAGCTATAACAGCATTACTGCTATTTCTGATAAACACATTTCCACTGAGTGAGCCAGTCCCAGCTCCTGTATTAGACACACTTATCCTGCCATGTTCTCTACCGGTGTAAGCGCCATTACCAGCCTTTCCTGCATTTACTTCATTAGTATTAGTCCCAGGATTATTTTCTACGTTATCTGATCTAACTGTGCTGTGACTGCTACTCAGGCTATTACTATTACTCATAATGCCGGGTCCATTTTGATTTGTTCCAATGTTATCCGCTTTAATGCCTATATTTCCAGCCCCACTCACTCCAACACTGATAACACTTCTTCCTAGTTGTGTGGTGATTCCACTGACAGGTCTGTTCAATCCATCTTGACTATCACTCCTAAGGGCAGGATAAAAGCCACTGGTCGCTATGTTAGTGCCATCCTTTGGTGCAATGTTTTTTGTCCTGCCATCATTAGCACTATAGGCATTTTTTCTGCTGTCACTGCTGCCAAGCTGGCCTGTGTCTCCATTGGTAAATCCATCTTGAAGTATCCTTGCATTATTAGTGCTTTCCCCTGATCTACTGCCATGACCACTATCAGGCTGATAGCTAGTACTCCAATCTCTTCCCCCCACCTGGCCACTCTGTCCATGGTTAGCAGCCTCCACCTCCAGGCCCACCAGCATGCTCCTCTCCCCGGCTGAGTTGCTAGCTCGGCAGGTATAGGTTCCTGTGTCGATCTTTTGAGCCAGACGCACCTCTAAAGTTCCACCCAAAACCACCACAACCCTCTCGGAATAAAAGCCAGATCCCAAACTTTTTGGGATGACACGGCGGGTCGGGGAAAACCATGTGACCGTCGGGGCAGGAACTCCAGTGGCCTGGCAGGGAATTGTGGCTGTTGCCCCTTCACGTACTTTGACCACGTGGTGGCTTCTGTCATCAGTAAAGGTTGGTAGAGATGTCCTCATGATTTTTACTTTGACCTTGAAACATTGAATTTGAGTTAGTTTACAACTGAATTAATTTTGTATTTGTATTCATGATATGTTTATTGTGAGTAAGAACAATAAACTCAATTTTAATATGTAATATAAATGATAACTCAAATATCCTTTGCAATAGAAACAAAAATGTTTACCTTCATGGTGTCTTGGCCTCCTTGATTCTCAGCATAACACGTGTACTCTCCCTCTTCTCCCATCCCTACTGCTGGTACAAGTAACGTCCCATTGTCAAACACAGTTAGCCTCCGTGTTCTCCCTCCTCTGTCCTCCCCCTGCAACATGCTGTTCACCATGGTTCCATCTGGTAGGCTCCAACGGACAGATGGGTCAGGCAGTCCGGATGCCTGGCAGTCCACCTGCATGGAACAGGATCATTATTATCATTAAAAGTTCTATCAACTTTAACTTAAATTAACTTTTGTTTGGATGAGTGCCAAACTGCTGAGAGCTGTTAGGAAATAACAATGTCTCCTCTTTGTTAAAAGGAAAGATGCATACTGCTCTAGATTCAGCTTTTAGGGCTGTTTTTATAATCCCAAAAATAGAACTAATTGAAGAAAACACTGCTAAGCAAGACAAATGAAGCTGCTTTAAAAAGAAAACGTTCAAATCTCATTAATTTTTAAATGAAATAAAAAAGGAGGGCAACAAATTCCCAAATAAATTGACCTCTTTCTTGCATTTCAACTCGCTTGACATTGTATTTCATTGAACTGTTGAATATTCGTGTGTCAAATATCATCCCCTGAAGGCCGCTGTTGATGATTCATAACAGGCTATGACCTGACAGGTCTTTCTTTTCCTTTTTTAAGTCAAAAAAATATGATGCATTTGTGATTTATGAATTGTTTTCATTGAACTTACCTTCAGTGGTGTGCCGAAAGACACCATCTGATTGAGTGGTTGCTTGGGCTCGATCTTGGCAGGCTTAGTAACAACAGAGACACGCAGGCGGCGATAATCATCTGAGACCTTGTTTCGCGCGATACAGAGGTAGTCACCAGCGTCCTTCTCTGTTAATGCTCGGATTGACAGAGTTCCATTAGGGTGCACCTTCAAACGATGGTCAAAACTGAAAATCGAATGTGGATAAACATACAAACAAATCACCAACAGGTATAGAATGAGACACAATACTGACAGAATTACTACGAGATATAATTAAACAACCGTCTCATAAACCCACATCCACTTTACCTGTAATGCACGTCCACTAGTTTCCTAATAGGGGTCCTCCAAATGATGATAGGTGCTGGGTTTCCAGTTACAGAGCAGTGGAGCTGCAAGAATAACCCATAGTGGACAGTGGAGCTGGAGGGTGATGTAGAGACAATAAGGGCTTTACTGAAGGGTGAGACAGGCGAGGGATGCAAAGCAGCTGAGGCTGTATATTTTTTCGAGGGGGGAGGAGAAATAACTTTTGTGTTATTTACAATGCCAGGCGAGACTTTGGTGTTATTTGTAGGCATTGTGGAGGATGGGGAGAGAGGGGAGAGCTTTGTTTTGTTGATGTTGCTCAAGTGTGTGGGGTAGGCAGTGACTGTTTTATTGATTTTAGGAAGTGAGTTAGTGGCAGTGGGTGGGCGAGGGTAAAAAGATGAGCGAGAAGAACTGGTGTTGAGCGGCAAGGTCTGGGATCTGTCATGGGGCGATGAAGCGGGGAGTCTAGCTGAGTTGAATGGATTTGAAGGGTGGCTAGGGATAGATAAAGTTCTGTCTTTATTTAGTGAAGAAGATGTTTTTTCAACAGCTTTCGCTCCCTCATGTCTTGCTTCACTCTGGCTTCTTTCTCCTTCTGCTGACCCTTCAATTTCTAACCTAACTGTTCTCTTATCGGCTCCAACAGCATTGCTTGCTATGCACTCGTAATTCCCTGAGTCCTTAGGCCGAACTCCTCGAATATGCAGTGTCCCATTGGGTAAGACGAAAAGGTTGCCATGAAGAAACTGGGATTGGCGGACTATAGTCCCATCTGGAATTCGCCAGCGCAGAGTTGGTGTCGGGGCTCCCCTGGCAGAGCAGTGAGCGTAAACAGGCCTCCCAGGAGACAAAAGCAGGTGTTCCTCTTTGGCTTGCTGTATAACAGGGGGCAAGGAGGACACATGTACACGCGCTGAGGCACTGGCTGCTCCTGCTGAGTTGGAAGCCACACAGCGGTACACGCCTCTGTCACCGGTTAAAGTTACTGGTATATGGAGGGTACCATTCGTGTCCATAATAATCCGACTGGTGGAGGCAGCGCTGGAAGTCAGGACAGAGCGATCAGGCAAAACCCAGGAGAGCAGAGGGCTGGGAACACCATCCGCCTGGCACTGCAAGTGCACCTCTCCACCCTGATGAATGGTAACATCTCTGTAGCTGGCCAGCTGCATTCGAGGGGGGCGTGTCCACACCTCCAGGTTGGCTAGCAATCTATCACGAAAGAGTATAGGATCCAAATAGTCAACATGGAAACACATTTGTATTTATTCTAAATAAAACTGAACATAGGACATGTTTAGGAAACTCCCCAAATGCATGTATTCACAATTTAAACAGGAATCCTGAAAGAGACATGGGATTGACAAACATATTTTTTCAAGTAACACAATTATATTGGAATTGGATTAGAACAAACCTTTTATAAACAGATTTTATATACACAGATTTCGAAATGACTTTAGGCTGCTTAAAAATACACCAACACAGCATGCATAATCCTAAACAGCTGTTTGCCTTTGGTCTGTGTAATTAATACAGAAAATATTTTTGTACCATGGTCATTATAACTAAATGCAAAATGCTACATTAATATTCCTAACTGGTATGAGCAGCCTCACCTGTCGCGACCCAGAAAGCTCTGTGCACTGCAGATGTATGTGCCTCTGTCCTGCAGCTGAATATTCTGGATAACTAGAGTGCCATTTGGCAGGACCTCAAAACGCTCTGCCTTGGAGAGAAATGACATCACTGCTCCTGAGAGAGAAAGACAGACAGAGAGACAGACAGACCGACAGACAGACAGTCAGGCAGACAGACAGGCAGACAGACAGGCAGACAGACAGACAGACAGACAGACAGACAGACAGACAGACAGACAGACAGACAGACAGACAGACAGACAGACAGACAGACAGACAGACAGATTTGGGAAAGAAAGTTAGAATGAGACAGAGGAAAGGAGGATCAGGGAAATACTTTGTGGCACAGCATGAAGTAAGCCCAGTGATGCAGTGCACAAATGTTCCATTACTTTCTTGCAATATGTCTTTCCCACATGGCAAGCGAGAGAAAAGCCTATTGTGTACATGCCAGTGCGTAATGCTGGGTGTTAATGGGTTACTTCATCAGTGCAAAATGTGTTCATATTCATTAAGTTAAAGTACATACTAAAGCTTAGTTGGTTTTTCCTTTTGAATCGATGACGTCAAGAGGTAAATACAAACCTTTACTTATTTCTGCTTTAAATGAACAGTGTGTAGTACTTCTGATAAGAAAATAGCACTTCTATGTTTCCCAGCAGGGGCGGTTCTAGGGGGGGGGCAGTGCCCCCCTAACACTGATCTCTGACCCCCCTGTGGCCCCCCTAACAATGAAAAGTTTTTTTTATTTTTTTTTAAATGTATATTTTCAGGTACTCGGTTTGCCAAAAACCGCAGGATTTTCTTGCTGTAATGTGAGATTGTGCAGACACCCTTATGTAAAGTAGAGATGTAACTGTTCATTGCCTTTATTTTTATATAAATATGGTGTTAGTGCAAACATTGCACTATAACTTAAGCTGAAGCTAACAGTAATAACTATAAGATCAATCTGAAATAAATAAGTGTACTGAAACAAATACCAATAACTGTATTGCATTGTTTTCTTATGCGCAATTACTTCATATTGTCTAGTTCTCTTTTTTGTCCTGCATTTATTGTGCCCCCCTCAGAAAATAACTGGCCCCCCAGTGGCCCCCCAGTCAAATTGGTCTAGAACCGCCACTGTTTCCCAGCATAAAAATATATGCCTGAGGGTTTAAGAGAACGGATTTACTGAGTAATCTGTGGAAATAAAACTGAACCCTGATTTGTATTTTCATATCTACAAGGGAATCGTTTTTAATATTTACATATTTCTGTATACTGAAATAAATGTGTGCATATTGTCTGCTCAGCGTGTACCTGTGGAGACTTTGGTCCATGTGATGGAGGGCTTTGGCTCGCCTTGAGCTTCACAAGCCAGCCTGGCAGTGCTCTCTGCTGGGACCGACACTGTCCTGATGTGAGGGTCTGCAATCCTCGGTCTGGATCTCACAACTGGGACCTATGTAAACGTTTTATAGATTTAAGTAGACAAAAAAGAAAATGATGATAATAATATATTTCTTTTTAACTTTAAGACATCTGAGAGCATTGCACCACTAATGAAAATCCCTTGAATTGCAAAGCTGCAGCATTGTGTTGGCCTTGGAGTTGTGAACAACACCTTCAGAAAAGCAATAGATAAAATGATAATTGTCTAATAGGAAAATGAGCAAATCTACATAATCAACACAATGTAGTCAACAGATAATTTGGCCATCTGTACAACATCTTTAATGTACAAAACTAACCAAAATGATAGACAAATCAAAACATAAGTGTGGGTAAGAATAAAGGCCATTGCATATGTTTTAATTATGTATTAAATTATTTTAATGTAATTAAAAAGTAATATGATTATGTGAATTTAAAATGTTCAAATGTTTGAAATTCCTTTTATTAAACATTGAAGAGCTTTTAAGATTAAACAATTCAATATAACAGTACTGTAATACCAGATTAGGAACCATTGATGGTGAACCCAGTGGTTTTGTCTGCTGAAGCCTGCCAAAAGAGCTCTGGAAATTAATTAACAATTGATTATCTTAAATCCCTTGGGATTAGGGTCTTAAAACACATAATGTTGTTGATTATGGAACATGTGTTTTTCATCACTTCTTTAGATCTTGCGGGGACTCCAGCAGAGCTCCGGAAAATCCATGAAATTAAAGAACTGTCCTAAACAACCCTTAGGTTTTATAGCAGGTCATGTGGATACAGATTAGACTATTTTCAGATCTATTGTGCTTTTCTGCTAAGCTTTTGCCCAAAGGCTTGCACAGTCGGTGAAGTGCGCGCGTGCGTGTGTGTGTGTGTGTGTGTGTGTGTGTGTGTGTGTGTGTGTGTGTGTGTGTGTGTGTGTGTGTGTGTGTGTGTGTGTGTGTGTGTGTGTGTGTGTGTGTGTGTGTGTGTGTGTGTGTGTGTGTGTGTGTGTGTGTGTGTGTGTGTGTGTGTGTGTGTGTGTGTGTGTGTGTGTGTGTGAGAGAGAGAGTGTGTGTATACATGCTTATGTGTGTTATTATTTTCTGGGCTAGCACTCACTTAGAAAATAAATGTTAATTTAAGTTCCACTTAGCTGACAACAAAGAAAAATAGCTCTCTATATATATATATATCAAATGCAGACTGCATTTAAGAATGCACTTACAGAGATGACTAATTGTATAAATGACTGAAAGCAAAGAGAAGGGAAATAGGGGAAAATGACAGACATTAACAAATAAAAAACAAATTGTGGCCCAAGTTTAGCTCTTACTCGTGGGGTAATGTGTGTTCTTGCAACACATTTCGGGTATAAAGAATTCCCAAAATAGCATTACTGTTGACTCAATTTGAACTCACCCCAGGGGCAGCCGGGAGTGAAGGGGAGGGGGGCCATTGAGGCCGGCTGCTGCCTGAATCTGGAATAGAATTAGTTCCAGGGTTCCTCCAGTCAATAGAGGGTCGATTCTGGTTTGAACCCCCAGAATTAGGCCTCTCTCTGGGTGATTGCGTTGTACTTGTTGTGATCATTGTAGTGGTTGTAGTTGAAGATTTACTGGGTGTAGCTGCCGTTGTAGTTGTTGAAGGAGGTTTCACTGAGGTGACAATTCTAGTACTAGTAGGAGTAGTAGTTGTAGCAGTGGTAGTAGGATGAGGGGTTGCGGGGATAGTCTTGAATGAGATTGTAGTACTAGTAGCAGTAGTAGTAGTTATAGTAGTAGTAGAAGGGCTAATAGTAGTAGTGGTAGTTGGAAAAGTTGATGTAATGTCAGGTGTTGTGGAAGAAGTAGTAGAGGTAAAAGCAGTTGTAGTACTTCTGGTAGTGCTAGATGTAGGGATAATACTGGTAGTTGTTGTAAACAATTTGGGACTTATAGTCAAAGCAATATGTGTTGTTCCTATGGGACGTGTGTCCTCATTAGCTGTAGTGGAAGATATACTTGTAACACTTTCAGCAGAATTAGTATGTATTATTTTGAGAAAGGTAAATGGAGTAGTGTGGAGTTTTGCAGTAGTAGTTGTAGCTGTACTGGGGACTGTGGAGGAAACAATCGAGGAAGGAGTGGGCGAGAGAGAGATGGAGGAGTGGGACACATATGGTTCACTTGACAAATTCCTCTCGAGTACAACATTGGGATCACTTGAAGGTTCATCAACATGTTTGCCTAAAGATGTGTGTGTTTTTGTGACAGTCTGTATGCCATGTGTATAAGTCTTGGCGTGTGTGTTAGGCGAATGTGTCTGCACGACCGTAGCATCCGAGTGAGTGGGTGCTGGTGTTAATGTGTTGAAGAGAGTGGATTTTGCAGTGTCTGGGATGTTGGCTGGGTGAGTCACCATGTCTATATGTATCTTCGTGTGAGAGGGGGATAATGAGGTGATAGAGGAGGAAGAGGGAGTCACTGAGGGGGTGGCAGAAGTGGAGATACCAACAGTATTAGTGGAAGACTGAGAATTCAGTACCACATCATTTGAAGTGGTCTCAATATGGTCACTCCGTGTCAACAGCATGACTGGAGATGTAGATGTTGACACCAGCATCAACATATTCATTTGATCTGTTGTAGTGACAGGTGTCTCAGTTTGTGACCTCGGGTTTGTAAGTTCAGGGATAGGTCGGCGTGGGGTCAAAGGACGCCCCCTGGGCCTGTTGATGATTCGTCTTCGCTGTCCGATCCTCCTGCGAGAGTTCCAAGGGCTTTGAGGCCGGGAATTGGGTACCAAATTAGGGAAGAGTCCCTCCCAGGGGTTTTGAGGCTTGGTTCTAGATGGGTTGGTGTTTGCTTCTGGCTCATCCCCGTCACCTGGTTCTGGGACAATTTCATTTGCTGCTGAAATTGGCTTCAATGTGACTGCTTCTTTCTGTGTCTCTGTGTTTGTCACTGACTCTGTCTGTGGAGTTGCTTTCTCTGTCTCGCTCTCTGTCTCGTTCTCTATATTTGTCTGTGTTTCTGTTGATTCTGTTGCGGTCTTTATCTCTGTGTCTGTGTCAATGTCTGTCTTTATCTCTGTGTCTGTTTCTGTGTCTGTCTTTATCTCTGTGTCTGTGTCAGTGTCTGTCTTTATCTCTGTTTCTGTGTCTGTCTTTATCTCTGTGTCTGTGTCAGTCTTTATCTCTGTTTCAGTGTCTGTCTTTATCTCTGTGTCTGTGTCAGTGTCTGTCTTTATCTCTGTGTCTGTGTCAGTGTATGTCTTTATCTCTGTGTCAGTGTCAGTCTTTATCTCTGTGTCTGTGTCAGTGTATATCTTTATCTCTGTGTCTGTGTCAGTGTATGTCTTTATCTCTGTGTCTGTGTCAGTGTCTGTCTTTATCTCTGTGTCTGTGTCAGTGTCTGTCTTTATCTCTGTGTCTGTGTCAGTGTCTGTCTTTATCTCTGTGTCTGTGTCAGTCTTTATCTCTGTGTCTGTGTCAGTGTCTGTCTTTATCTCTGTGCCTGTTTCAGTGTCTGTATTTGTCTCTGTGTGTGTTAGCATTTCTTTGTTGACAGGGTAAATTTGCTGAAGGCCTTCTTCTTGTAGATCAGTCTCATCAAGAGATGACCCTTCCGTTTCTGCTTCCTCTCCTGCTCCTTCAGATCTATCTCTCTCTGTATCCTCAAGTCCTTCATTTCTACCTGTGTCTCCATCTTGGCCTCCTTCCACATCTTCAGCTATGGGCTTTGCTTCATCGACAGGCCCGCTTTCATTAGTGGCAACAGTCTTTTGTCGAATCTTAGCCAAGAGATCAGCCCATTTTTTAGGGTCTATCCTTTGTTTGTTTGTGGTAACCCTATGTCTGTTCTTAAAGCGGGTTCTTCTCTGGTCAGTGGATGACGTAAGCGTTCCTCCTCTCCTCAGGGCGCCTTCTCTCATAGGTCCACGTCTTACGGGTTTTCCAATTGGAAGACGTATGTTTGGGGAAGGTTGAAGAGGTCTTGGACGCTTCCTGCCAGCAAGAATTCTCTCTCCTTCTTCCGCCACATCGCCAGACCCTTCTTCTTCTTGTAATGGAGCTCGTATCTTGGTTGACCGGCCAGCAGCTGACTGTGGCCCTGTGGGAAATGAAGTCCTAAGTGGAGGGGGATGTCTTGAATTTAATTCAAGCTGAATCGACAGAAAATCACTACCATACTGGTTGACTGCAATGCAGCGGTAATGACCAGCATCCCTCAGAGAAGGGTTAGGCAGAGAGAGACTCCCATTTGATTGTAAAATGAGCCCACCTGATACAGCTAATCCCTGCCGTACTAAGTTTCCATCTGGTAACACCCAATTTATATGAGGCGCTGGTGAACCAAAAGCCTTGCAGGATAGACTGATAGGTTTACCAACAGTTGCTGTGACAGGAGGTCCCACTTGCTCTCCTGAATTGGGAAAAGAGGAATCCTCAACGGCCAGGCGCAGGGGGAGAACGTCTACATCCTTGCCTGCCCGTGCTATGCAGTAATAGATCCCTGCATCTGAGAGCTGCACTTTATGAATAAGTAAACCAGAGGTTGAAGCCTGGAGCCTACCATCTAAGCTGCTTGAGGGGGAGATGAGCTTGGATCCATCCGGTTGAACCCACTGTACTTTGGGGTTACCAGAACTTAAAAGAGGGCATGATAGCTCTACCTTACTACCTACTACTGTTGCAAATTCGGTGGCAGTCTGATTAGTTGAAATCAGCACCCATGGGGGTGAGGAAGGGGAGGATGCTGAGGGATGAGAAGCAGGGTCAGGATGAGCAGAAACTCTTGTTGAGTAGATAAGTTTAACTTTATGTCTGTTAGACTGTGCTCTGTTTAGCTGAATGCTGATGGCTGGCTGTAGTAACCATTGTGGTCTGGCTTCAACGGAAGATTGGACTCCAGTGTGATAATATCCTTCTGTCTCTGGTGCCTGCCTGTAGCGGTAAGCAAATGCTGGGACTTTACTCAGCATGATGTGCCTCTCCAGACGAACCGCAGTCTCACTGTAGTATGCTAGGATCCTCCAAAGTTTCTCATAGCTCAGTCTCTCCACGGGGCATTCCAGGGAGAGCGAGAGAGCGAGGGGGAGAGGGGAAGAGGAGGAAAGAGAAAGATCTGGAGGTGGAGCAATATCCTGGGAATCAGAGTGAGTGAAGTTGCAAACCAGATCCACGCTGTTCCCTTGTTGATCAGAGAGACCCAGAGAGGCAGTGCCTAAAGGTTCTCTAAAGGATTCACTGGTTTGGATTTCACTATGTTCGGTCTCCAAAGGTGTGTCTCTTCCTGGGGAGGCGATAACAGGTGAGCTGCACAAGGGGTCAGTCTGCTCAAGCAAGCCTTGACCTTGAAGGGAATCGGGCGAGGCACAGATTGGACACTGAGGGCCGCCGGGACATTTCATTAAGCCTAATTGAAAGAGAGGCAGAGAAAATTGTGTCATAAAAGACAGCCTTGGCATCTCTATCAACTGTGTATAAAAGCATAGCAACTAAACAAACATATCAGTGCACAACTCAGCTATCTGAACATATTAGCACTGTCATACTTTAGTCATGCCAGCTCTTCTTAAGAATATATTAACCTTTATATGTCTTAATAATTCTGCATGGTTACTTCATCCACTCATACATCAGGAAAATGCATCACTTCATTATTACACAATAATTAGCCTATATTTCAGCTGCCTTCACACATCAATGCTGTCATCATAGATTAGTCATAGCAGGTTAAGTCTGGCATATCAATGAGACACATTTCATGGTCCAGCTCTCATTCACGTCTCAATAACAGCCACAAGGAACACTGGAAGAGATACAGAAAATTGAGGAAATAGGAGAAGGGGGTGTAACATAAAGCAGGTGGAGGGATGTCAGAGGAATAGACTAAACAAAACCATATGTGTAGGAAAATACATTTATCGCATTATTCTATCAACTGGCTTGATTTGATATGCTACAGTACATTACAGCTGTATAATGTTTTTCTCTCAATCCATTCACCTTGTTACTACCTTACCTAGTTACCTCGTTTCTAGCTATATGCATTTTGCAATAACCATCACATTTGTACTCCTTGACTGAGTTAAACTGGCTCAGAGGCTTAACAAATGACCAACACAAATCACATGCGCATGACAATGACAGTTGAAAACATATCAAATGTGACAATCACCTGGATGTGCCAGACTCCAAGTGAGAAACCAGTTCATCCTACAGTCACAACTCCAAGGGTTAGCCTGCAGCACAAGAGTCTCTAGCAGAGGTGCTGTTGCTAATGTGTCTCTGGGCAGAGTTGTTAGACTGTTGTTGGACAAGTCTAGGTGTCTACAGATGGGGAAAACAAAAATAAAATAAAACATTAAGTGGAGGGGGATGGTGGACAACAAGGTTGAGTCCAAATCATGGAGGAAGGAATGAAAGAGTGTGAGTGGGCAGTGAGAGATGAAAGGTTAGTGGAAAATAACTAATAATTGTTATCCTTTCGATCATCATCCTCGTGTTCAGATCCGGGTTATTCCTCTGCAGTAGTAATACAATTAGGAGTAGGCGCAGTTTTAGAAGTGTATTTGCCTGGGTAAAAAATAACCAGCAAGAGTTGCTTTTTCATCGGATGAGTTTTTCTTTTGACTAGTCAATCATGTATCCCATTATCACTAAATCTCACTGATCACACCATTTTAACTAAATGTAGCTAATACTTTGTCACAATCATATCATCACAAATCCTAGTGCAAATGTTTTTTTAGAATTGTGATAGTCAAGAACACACAGATCAGTTTACTGTATGTTGTAGGTCATGGAAGTATTGTAAATAATGTGGCAATAACAAACTTACCAGAGAACAGAGAGCACTCTTCTATTGCTTTTATGTGTATGTGTTGTGTTGTTAAAAGTGTTATCATGTTGTAACATGCCAAACAATGACTATAACATTAATGAGGTTAAAATGTTAACGTAGGTTCAGGAGCATGGCCACGCCTAAAACTCCGCCTCAAATCACGGCCACCCCTATTTATATCCGGCAAAACTTCCGGCCAATGCTTGTCTCCATCCTCTCAACCCACCCTACCTCTCCCTTCTACCCATACAGTTCCCCTTCCGACTCACACCGAGCGATACATCCATCCATCCCTTCCTCCCTCCCTCCCCTCAACATCCCTACATCCCTCCATCCCTCATCCCTTCATCCCTCATCCCCTCATCCCTACACCCCTCATCCCTCATCCCTACATCCCCTCATCCCTCCATCCCTCATCCCTCATCCCTACACCCCTCATCCCTACATCTCTCATCCCTCATCCCTACACCCCTCATCCCTACATCCCTACATCCCTTCATCCCTCATCCCTTCATCCCTCATCCCTCCTCCCTACACCCCTCATCCCTACACCCCTCATCCCTCCATCCCTCATCCCTCATCCCTCATCCCTCCATCCCTCATCCCTCATCCCTACACCCCTCATCCCTACATCCCTCATCCCACATCCCTTCATCCCTCATCCCTACATCCCTCATCCCTCCATCTCCCATCCCTACATCCCTCATCCCTCATCCCTCATCCCTACACCCTCATCCCTACACCCCTCATCCCTACACCCCTCATCCCTACACCCCTCATCCCTCATCCCTACATCCCTCATCCCTTCATCCCAACATCCCCTGCCCGTCAACATCTATATTCATATACCGTGTATACTAACATCTAATTCCAGGTACCGTCTGGGGACCCGTAATCAGCCCACGCAGATTATGCCGGAGACGGAACCCCCACTCTGAGTCTCCCACTGCACGGACCACAGCTCGTCCTCCCAGACCATCCCTTCACCCCCCTCACATCATTTACATGTTACCTCAATAAACTTACAAAACATCACATTGTTGTGGCGTGGTTCCTGCTAGTGAATGTGCTATAAGTGCTCAAGCTCACCTGAGTGTAGAGAAGTAATATGTATTCAGGAGGGACAGTGTGCACAGAGTGCGAGGGTGCAGTTGATGCAGCCTGTTCCCTTGCAGACGCAGCAGCCTGAGGCTCGGCAGCTGGAGCAGCGCCCGGGGGTGGATGTGCTGGAGGCGGTTGTGATCCAAGTACAGACGCAGCAGGGAGGTCAGGCCAGAGAAGGTTAGAGATGAAGAGATCTCTCTAAGCTTGTTATAACTCAGCTTTAGTATCTGCGGGGGGAGGGAGAGGAAATTGAGTGAACGGAAGCAATGAAGGATTAGAAGAGCAATCAAAAATGGGGCATCAAAGCTGATGAAGAAACCAAGTCTATGCACTGATCATAAGTCTGTCACTGGACACCACATGCTTGTAAATTGAATTTATGACAAATTATGCAAGCGGAATAGGAATGAGGATGAAGGAGTCGGTGAAAAATTATTTGTAAGCAAAAATAAATGCAAACTGTGTTGTGTTTAGAAATATGGGGGAATACTTCCAGTAGCACACCAAATGCTGCAAGTTTATCGATTCAAAGCAGAAAAGACTTAAAGCATACTCTAGCACTGGGGGCCTTCAACGTTTCAAATAGGAAATGTATCCTGTAAGCTCAAGACTCTGGGGAACTATTATTATTCTAGTCATGTGCAAAAAACCCACCAACCTTTACAGACACACACCATGAAAACCATGTTGTGGAATTGTGTTTCTGTGAAGCTTGTGATAAATCCGCTCTGCAGGAAGGCTACTTAACTGGCAGAGTTCCAGCTACTGACAGATCTAGCACGTGAAGATGTCAGCACATGGAAATATGGATCTTATTATCACACAATGCCAAATATATCAGCATCTGCCAGGGAGATGAAGGGAACAATTGCTTGTTGAGTAATTTGACTTCCCCACGGACTGCTAACTCTGCCCTTAGGTTCCTGCTAAAATGTCCAGTGTGTTTCCTGTCACTGAGCAGAAAAAAGAATGATAGCAAATAAATTATGCATTCGTTGTACATAAATTAGAAATATGTGCTGACAAATTTGAACAGAATCATGTTAACTATTGTATTAATTTCCATAATGGTTTCACAGATTAAATGTAAAATTAATCATTTTATAATAATTTGTTGCCATCAGTTTGACTGCTAGATTTAGGCATATTTATTAATATAGATTATTCTCTAAATTGTACAAAACTCTTTGACAAATGCTGTATAGTTGATAATCTCTGCATTACTTATGTTGTTAAAAACTGAAATGGGTTCTGTCAAACAGTTTAAGTATATACATGTATCATACTTAAAGAGGTTATGCAGACTATAAACTACTAAAGAAATGTGAGAGCTGAGTTTTCTGAAACAAAATACATTTGAAATAGTGAAGGATCCTTGTATGGTACCCCTGCTTGAGGCTGGGATTAAGGATTAGGCTGTGAGACTGGGTCCAAGTTTGATACTCATATCTGTGTCCTGAAAAATACTTCATATCCAAAGGCTAAATATTTGAGACAATGATTTATTTTGCCCATTAGCATCCATACACTTTATAATCCAGCATGGATAGTTTCTCTTGGAAAAGGACAGTTCAGGACACTCAATAATGTTGGTTGCTGTTAGCTGCCTGTATGAGATACAGGCGCTGTAGTTCCATAAAGAAAATTGACAAAACATAAAGAAAAGGGCTCTGAAGAATACATCCCATTTCTTTAAAACGTTTGCTATCTTTAATTTAATCAATTATCCCATCCAAAAATCTGCTAGTTTGTTTTTTAATTGATTTCCCTCTCTTTTCAGCCTTAAACAATGTCAATGTTGGGTCCAATGCTGCTTTTCTTCCTATTTACCTGTAGTGATTTCAAATCACTGAATGCTTCATCTGGCAGATGGTGGAGGTCATTGCTGTGGAGCATCAGGAGCTCCACCTTCTTTAGCCCAGCCAAAGAACTGTCATGTATTGTGCTGATGCTGTTGAATCTGTGGCACAGAAACAGCATCATCAACCTTAGATGTCAATACATCAACAAATAGTACATCTCTAGAGCTCGTTCATTTGCTGCAGTTTGACACATTCCAAACTCTATGGGTGTGTTTGATGGTAAATAAGAGCACTCCTACTTGCTCACTTGCATTCCCTTACCCAAAGTTTATGCGGTGTGTGTGTATAGGGAGGCCAGAAGGTATGCTGAGCAGGGAACGAAAGGTACAGTGGACTTCATTGGCCTGGTAGCAGTTACAGCTCCTGGGGCAAGCCTGGCCCATGGGCACCACTAGTGTCAGTACCAGTAGAGTCAGCAGGGGAACCGACACACACACACCCCGATACATCTTCAGTCCCCGAGAGGAGAAGCCACACTGGGATTATCACTGCCAACGAGAAAAAAGGAAATCTAGACTGATGGAGGGTAGCAAAGTGCATCACAGTGACATGTGTCAAAATCCAGATGACAGCCTCTCTCTCTCTCTCTCTCTCTCTCTCTCTCTCTCTCTCTCTCTCTCTCTCTCTCTCTCTCTCTCTCTCTCTCTCTCTCTCACACACACACACACACACACACACACACACACACACACACACACACACACACACACACACTGGAATGTTCATTCATACATCCCAAAAAGCACACATTTTACTCAAGGGGATTTGCAATCCGTACAACACATGACACTTATATCCTAAAATCCACACTAAAGCCACACTGACACATTGCACTTAACAAAACAGACCTTTGGGCTTTATGCACATGCCCAGTAGGTTAATTGAGTGACATACATTAAGCAAAACAAAAAGAGCAGGATTGAGAAATATAGTAAGAAAAAAATAACACGTCAGTTTAGACCTCACATAAACTATCCTGTTTCTCTCTCCTATTTAATCTCACACAAGCACACAAATGCTCTTACCATTCAAATGTATCAAACCAACTGTAGAGCAATAGCTGCCAGAGGCTTTTTAAATTTGAAGCTGAAAGTAAAGTAAATCACGCACTCTAGCAAGAAGCATCCGAGATTAATTCATTACTGTAATGCAAAGTCGTGGATGTGCAGAGCATACCTTGAAATCCTGTGGAGTTATTTCACGGAAGTATTCATTTTGCCCATCAAACACTGATTTAATCCAACAGCACGGCTCGGAATTTTGAAAGGCAATTAACCAGTGTATTCACCAATAAACTCCGCGATTGTTGAACTGGGGTGGAGGTCCCAAAATAAGTTGTCACATAAGATGTAACTGAGGAGTGCGAGAAAAAAAAAGTCACACTTTTGTCAACTCCGCACAACAACAAAATGATTTTAGTTAAATCCAACAGGTCTTGCGCGTCTTTAGAGAAGTAACACTGGAAGTGGCAGGCGGGCTATATGCAAACGCGTCTGGCGCTGTGTGAGTGTGCGCGTGAGCGTTTGTGTGGATGACAGGGGATGTGTGAGAGTGTATTTGAGCGGAGGAAAAGGGACTGTACCGAAGTGAACTTTGAGTGACGCTCAGGCTGAGGGGTTTGTCCGAGGAGGGGCTTTCTGCAGACACAGAGGTAACAAGTTACTGCTGCAGGCTGCACTCCTCAAATCTTTACTCTGTAGCCACAGACATCTGTCTGTTGAACTGCGACTCACTGGATGTCTTCTGTCTCAATTGTTGCACACCATTGTAACTTCTCTGCTCACACTATCTCCATCTATTTTGCAAACAACTTAATCAATTTTCCCTAATTTGAATTAATTTAATTGCATATATACCTGAATTAGAAACAGCCCTTCTGAAGATGTTTTATCTAAAAAGAAACCCCCATCAGATTCAGCCTCATGGCCTCAGATTTGTAAAACTCTTCAAAATCACAAACATGACACAAGACTCCTGTTTGTCCAAATGGTATCTAAATTGTTACATGGCTAAGTGTTCATACATGTTTTTGTTTGAAACATCGACCCAAGCAAATGTTTCTTTTTCTATTTACAAGGTTTGGGCCAAGGACCAAGTGTGTGTGTTGCAGGGTCGGCGTCATGGGGGGTCATTCGCGGGCCATGCCCCCCCAAATGAGTCACTGTGCCCCCCCAACGCAGGGTGGGCAAGCCTTATTGCCACTTTGCCGTTTTTTTTTTTTTAATCATATAAGTTAAAACGTTTCCACCAAAAGTTGTTTGTGTGAAATACATCAGAAATAAAGAATACACATTTGTATTCTTTATTTATTCTTTATATGAAACACAGCCTGAGGTGTGCTCACTGCTGCTCTCTGATTGGTGTGTTGCTTGACCAATGACCCCGACTTTTGTTTTGTTATCATTACGTGGCTGTGTGTTTAGATGAAAGCCCAGTGGCGATCTGTCCATCTGTTATACTGATTATACAGTAAAGCCATCGAAAATAATATGATATACAGTACAGTACAAGTACATGGGTCTCTGTGTTTCATTCAAGCTCGGCTCTCTGTGTGTGGCACGAGCGCATTTTGTCAGTGCGCGAGCGGTAACGTGGAATATTGTTGTTAGCATCTGGTTAGCTAGCTATGCTAACGGATATAAAGAGCTGTTTCTACACCAAGGTGGAGGAGAGTCCTCTCCTGTCAGACTGAGAGGATCTTATAACGTCAGCTCAGTGAGGTAAGGACTCTCAGTGTTTAGATAGTTCACTTTAGTGTAAGTTATCTCAGTGGGTCTCAAACGGTTTGGTGACCATTTATGTAAACAAGTATTTGCGAGGAATAGGCTACCTTTATATGATCATTATAGTTATTAAAGAATAAGAGAATAAATGAAAAACGGGTATGACATACTATAGGACAATAACACAAGAATACCATTTAAAAGGGGAGTGATTAGTAAAATATCCATAAAGAAAAAGTAAATCTGTGTACAGTTCTGTTTCATATGGATGTTGAGAGATGTATCCATAGATCTCTTCATTTTGCTCTCAAAGTGCACCAGATTGATGCTTTTAACTTCAATATTTTAAAAATAATCTTCCCGGGGGAGCATGCCCCCGGACCCTCCTAGAGGAGGTTAGGTCCACGCCCCACCTAAAACATGTTCACATGGATAGGATACTAAATACATTTGCACACTTTTCATATGGTGGCCTATGTCCATATGTTTCTGTTTTGGTGGTCGTGCCACAACCGTGCATGTATGCACAAGTCATAGGTGCGCTATAAAATAGCACTACACCCCTGCAATGTGTGTGAAAGACAATACACTTTACAGCATGTTTTTTAAAATTGAAGTTGCGTTGGTGTTTGTGTGTTGGTTGTTGACGGCAGTATGTGCCCCCCCTTGGTAAATGATTTCCCCCCCATTTGATTTGTTCTAGAGCCGACCCTGGTGTGTTGTCAGGGAGTATATCTCAATGTTCTGCCAATTGGACTTCATTCAGGGAAAGTGGGACAATAGCGCCTAGGCATTTGTCTTGATACATGTGTGTGAGGTCAACTAAATAAGGGATTGTCTCCTCTTTTATCTTATCTCAGATTCTCAGGCATCCCAAACTGATCACACCTCCTTCTGAGGGGACTTAAATGAAGGCAGGGTGAGCAAAAATAGACTGATGCTCCTCAGCTGTTGTCTCTTATAAGCACGGTAAACCCACGCTGCAACAAGTCCTCCAACTCATACGACCAAATGGGTCGATTGTTTAAGCCCTTATTACGACCAAATATGTCGTTTGTTCAAGCGCTTAATACGACCTATAATTACGTTTTAAAGTTGTCGGCCTCTAGTGCTCCCGTTGAATGCAAACGTTACAGAGGGTTGTTTATTCACAAATAACCCTCTCTGTAAAATCCTAAATTATAGGATAGTTTGGCCATTAAAACGCTTTATGATTAGATTTCTAGCGAGAAGTATATATTGTACTTTTAGAATCCACGTCCAGTCGTTATGTAGGATCTATAGTTTGATAGATATTACGAAGATGATTTGAGGTTTCGTCAGGAGAACGTGTATATGCGGCAAGCTTCCATGTAAAGTTACGGGTTGAAAACAGTATTTCCGGTCTCGACGTTTTCATAATAAAACCAATGATCAAATGATTTAACAGTGATATCTGCAGTACTCATCCACTAAAAAACATCAGTTTATCCTAGTTAATTATACGACATTAATTGGTTTAAATTGTGTACAATGCTTTTGTGTTTTTCCCATAGGGTTTTCTCTTTCGATTCTGAGAGACACATTTCTTTTTTCAGAGGTTTTGATAGGCTAAAATCACGCCGCAATGCACGTCGGGATATGGTGTTTATGTGATATGAAATCGGAAAACATTTTTTAAAATAAAAATAATACTTTATTCCGAGTGTTCTTGCTTTTCTCTTTGAAAGTCATCACATAACGGCATTGTAATACACGGTTCGGCTGCATTACATATCTGCCGTAGATATGTATTTATAGAGCCCTGATCAGAAGACCTTTTGACAAACTGGAAGAGATGCCGCCAAAACTGAATACGTGACGTGGACCATAAAATATCAACAATTAAACAACATCTTCCATTTATTTTCACACAATACGTCTCCTTGCAGTATCAACACTAATTCGGCTGACTTTTATATTTGATCCAATTAGTAGATAGTCTGTATTTACACCATAACGGCGCACAGCTGATAGAAAGGGATTTTTTTGTAGTTTTTAAAGATATTACTGATTTTCTGAACTACCTTTCCAACTCCTCATGCAGTTGACTGTTACAGGTCTATACAAGTGTATGGTACAATGCATAAGCTTCACATTGAGAGACTGAAACTGTATTTTCCTTTAGCGTTCTGTTTTAATTTCACAATAAAGTGAATAGTCATATTATGTTTGATATTATTATGTTTTATTAACTAGACCACTTGTTTTTTAAACCGCACCTCCTAGTGGTTAAAGCACGTTATTGAATGTAGTTGTTGAATAAGTTTAATTTTTATGAAAACATTTAAATATTAAGAGTAGCTTACATACAAAATAGGGGTCAATGATAGAAATATAGAATAGAAAATATCAAGAAGATACTGTAGTGATCTCTACAATAAAACAGTTTAGTGCAGGACGTCCAAAGATATTAACAGGAGGATGTGCAAAACAGACAAACTGATAAGGCTGAATTTTACTCAGGTGTAACTAAAGTCTGATTTAAGGGTTGTTTATATTTCACATCATTAATCAGAATCTGCAAAGTAACAAAAATAAATGTAGTAGAGTAAAAATACCAGTTTGACCTCTGAATTGTAGTGGAGTAGAACAAAGTAGTACATGTTGCTGTAACAAAAACATTTCCCAACTTGGGATCAATAAAGTATCTTATCTTAAGATGATCGATGGCTACTGCCATATTTGCTAAATGTGCATCTGAACCTTGACAAGTGCATGTTTCAGGCTTATCAATTAACAACAGGAGGGGTCACAGACATAAGACCAGCTGTTAAATAAAGCTCTTCTGACCTTAGCTGTCATGTGGGTATATTAATGCTGCCCATTATGGGCACAAGCAATTTTCACCCATGTATTAATTATATGTTTTAAATTTGATAACACGTGTGTTTCGTATTCCCCTAAACCTCCAGGGATGTATACAGTATAATACTGGCAACTTCTAATTGTGGGAAATACGAAAACGTCTTATAAAACTACAATTCCCAGTAGAGACGTGCCATAGAACATATTGTGAAACACACAATAGCCAGCATGTGTAATTCTGGGGGGGGAGGGCTGGGCTGGACCTGTCCAATGTCCAGTTTTGGATAGTCTGGCGTGGTTCCATTCAATTTCAAAGAGCTGTTTGACATTCGGCGTAACCTTGTCGCACTGCCACTCCAACATCCAATCACAGAGCTTGAGGGCTAATCACGGGGTTTGTAAAGCAAGGCGGATGTTGTAGTCCCAAACGATAGCTGGGGATTCTGGGTAGTGTAGTGTCTTCGGAAACTCTGTAGTGTCTAAACTCCGAAAAAACAATTTGTTTTTCCGAATCGAAGGTTAAAAACACAAAAGCATTGTACACAATTTAAACCAATCAATATTGTGTAATTAACAAGGATAAACTGATGTTTTTTAGGTGGATGAGTAATGGAGATATCACTGTGTAATCATTTGACAGTGTGGGGAATACTTCCGGTTTTATTATGAAAACATCGAGACCGGAAATACTGTTTTCACCCATGCTAACTTTACATGGAAGCTGCCCCATATACACGTTCTCCTGGCGAGACCTCAAATTATCTTCGTATATCTATCAAACTGTAGATCCTACACATCCACTGGACGTAGATTATAAAAGTACGATATACACTTCTCGCTAGAAATCTAATAAAAAAGCATTTTAATGGCCAAACTATTCCACAATTTAGGATTTTCCAGAGGGTAATTTGTGAATAAACGACCCTCCGGAGCGTTTGCAATCGACAGGAGCATGTTGTTTCTTACACGACCACTAGAGGTGC